TTCAGAGGACCCGGGCGTTGGAGCTGCTGCTGGTACTGAGGACCTGGGCCTTGGAGCTGCTGCTGGTGCTGCGGACCCGGGCGTTGGAGCTGCTGCTGGTGCTGAGGACCCGGGCGTTGGAGCTGCTGCTGGTGCTGCGGACATAGGTGTTGGAGCTGCCGCTGGTGCTGCAGACCCTGGTGCGGGTGTCCCTGCTGACTCTGGTGTCGCTGCACGGTCCCGCCCGTACTTCGTTCCGCTCCTTCAGCAGGTTCTTGGTCAGCTCCCTCCTTGTCCTCCTCCCTCCTTCGCGTGTCCTCCGTCTGTCCAGCTGCAGTCGCAGTTACCGTCTGCCTCCTCTCTCCCTGGTCCTGCTCCTCACACTGGTCCGACTGGAGGTCTTACTGAGCGTCGTGAGTCCGAGTCTCGTCCTGCGTCGCCTGAGTCTCGTCCTGAGTCGACTGTCCGCACTGCTCTCTCTAGTGGTCGTATCCAGTGTTAGCGTCTTTTTGCTGTTCCAGGCACTCACCGGATGGCGCTTCGTCCGTCCACTGCTCCACAGCGTGTCCCACAGCTGTCCCCTCCTGCTTCCTCTCTTCCTGCTCTTGCTGACCCTGGGTCAGACTCTCTTCGTGCTGCCAGTCCTACTGTCACGCGTCTCTTGGCTACTGTTGTCACTGACCCTTCTTTTGAGTCTGCTGCTGCGTCTGCCTTAGTTGCTGAGCTTGTCGACTTTGCTGCTCGCTGTCGTCTAGACTACGCTGCTAGCCTAGTTGCTGAGTCTGAGTCTGTCAGTCCTCCGTACGTCGGGGGTGAGTGTGCTCTTGGCACTGACGTCCTTGAGGACAGGCAGGAGGAGTTTGAGTGCTTTGCTGCCGCTTTGCCCCATCTCGTGTCCATGCTTGTTGCCCCTAAGGGAGACCCGGATGCACCAGACATCCCGACCCCACGCTCTTACGCAGAGGTGATGGCCGGTCCCTACTCCTCTCAGTGGCAGTCAGCCATGGACACAGAGATGGCTTCCTGGAAGTCCACAGGCACCTACGTCGACGAGATTCCCTCGCCTGGGGCGAACATCGTCAGTGGTATGTGGATTTTCAGGGTGAAGCGGCCGCCGGGCTCTCCGCCCGTCTTCAAGGCGCGTTACGTTGCACGAGGCTTCAGTCAGCGAGAGGGAGTTGACTTCTTCGAGACCTTCTCCCTGACCCCGAAGATGACCACTCTTCGGGTTCTGCTGCACGTCGCCGCTCAGCGTGACTACGAGCTCCACTTGCTTAACTTTAGCACAACTTTCCTACAGGGCAGCCTGCACGAGGAGATCTGGCTGCGCCGTCCACCTGGCTTCACTGGGTCGTTCCCTCCTGGTACCCAGTGGAGCCTCCGACGGCCAGTCTACGGTCTCCGCCAGGCGCCTCGTGAGTGGCACGACACACTGAGGACTACGCTTGCGGCTCTTGGGTTCGCACCTTCTACTGCTGACCCGTCGCTGTTTCTACGCACCGACACCTCACTGCCGCCGTTCTACGTCCTTGTGTACGTCGACGACTTGGTCTTTGCTACTGCTGACACTGTGGCACTCGCCCACGTGAAGTCGGAGCTGCAGAAGAGACACACGTGCACAGACCTGGGTGAACTGACAAGCTATCTTGGCTTGCGGATCACGCGGGACAGAGCACGCCGCACAATCACCTTGACTCAATCACACATGGTGCAGCAGGTCCTTCAGCGCTTCCGCTTCACGTACTCCTTGCCTCAGCCCACTCCTCTGCCTACCGGTCACTCGCTCTCAGCTCTGCCTTCGGATGAGTCCGTAGAGCCGAGTGGCCCGTATCCAGAGCTTGTGGGTTGCCTCATGTACCTGAATGACCTGCACTCGACCAGACCTTGCATACCCTCTCAGCATCCTTGCACGCTATGTCGCTCCCGGCCGTCACCGTAAGGAGCACATGGATGCAGCTAAGAGGGTGTTGCGCTACTTGTGCAGTACGTCGGGCATGGGGCTAGTGCTTGGAGGGCGAGTCCCAGTTGTTCTCACTGGGCACTCAGACGCTTCTTGGGCAGACGACCAGGCTACTCAGCGGTCGTCTCAGGGTGACTCCTTCAGTCTTGGCTCTGGTTCTGTTTCTTGGCGTTCTACTCGCTCTTTTTCTGTTCTCAGCTCTAGTTGTGAGGCTGAGATCTACGCCACAGCCATGGCGGCCCAGGAGCTACGCTGGCTCACCTACTTGCTGACCGACCTTGGAGAGCAGCCTCGTTCTCCTCCAGTGCTGTACGTCCATACAAGGCAGCCATTGCTTTGTGTGAGGAGCACAGATTGGAGCACAGAACGAAGCACATTGCTCTGCGGTACTTCCTTGCTCGAGAGATGTAGCAGCGTGGTCAGCTTTGCCTGCGTTACGTGGCCTCTGAGGCCAACACTGCTGATGTGTTCACCAAGGCGCTCCAGCCTTGTGACCATTAGCGCTTTTGCACTCTTCTAGGCCTTGTGCCTACTGGACCTCACTTGGTTACTTCTTGAGTCTGTTTGTACTGTGATCTCTATATATATATACCTGCATGTTTACTCTTGCTAGGTTGTGATCATTGTACCCTTTGCTCCATTATAAACACATATGTGAACTGGTCTTGTGACCACTTGCTTGTGCTCGGAATTTGTGTGGTATCCTTGAGATCCACCCTGAGCTTGTTTTGTCTTGCTTTGCCTTGACTGGTCTTGTGACCCCTAGTTCTCCCCCACTTGTGATGGGAAGTCAAAGGAGTTAGCTGAAGCTGTGAAAGGATTTTTTTCATTGGTGAGAGGGGAGTTTTCATCGATGCTGGAGAAGAGAAATGAAGGTTTGGGGAATGAGTTGAGGCTTGCACTGAGTATTTTGGGAGAGAGGAGTGAGCTGGCAACATTGAAGGAAAGTTGGCTGCAGTGAAGAGGGAATTGGCAACAGCAAAAGGAGAGTTGGGTGAGCACAAGCATTCAAGTACATCGCAGCTGGAGGAGGCTGAGAGGAGACGAGTGGCGGAGATGAGGGAGATGAGAGGGCAGGTGGAGGAGAGGGAGAGAGAGCTGGCAGCAGAGTTGGCGGCAGTGAAGACGAAGCTGACTGAATACACAGACGCTATTGCCGAGCAGATGGATTTGGCTGAGAGAAAAAGGGAAAACGAATTGAGAGAGCTGAGGGAGCAGGTTAGAAAGGGAGAGGATGAAATGAGGGCAGAGTTGTCAAGGGAGATGGAGGAGAGGAGGAGGGAGGTGCAGGAGTTGATATGGCCACGTGACATGGAGGACTTGGCAGCCTGCAAGGCTTGGGTGAATGTTGAGCTGGAGATTATCGAGAGTAAAGGCCCTCAGAAGACTGCATGGGAGGTGAGTGTTGAGCGAACTGTTTTTAGTGCGTTAGTTTTTTGGTATTGTAACAACGCATTTATTGGGCGCGTGCCATAGTTGGCAATGTGCAAGGAGTGGTAGCTCATGAATCAGTTTTCATGGCAGGTGAGTGCTGAGTTAATCGATTTCATAGGATACGGTATGCAATGTTTGGCAAGCCATGCGTTGTTCTTTTATTCCAAGGCTGCCTGAGAAAAAGCCCAAAACTTCATAGCTGCGTGTAGCATCCTGCGCCTGATGATCGCGTCCGGCCACTTAATGTTTTTTTGGTCGTGCATCTATTCCAACTTGGGCTGTTACATGCATGGCCATTCCTCCTGCCCTCTTCATCGATCACCTCCAGCAAATCAAGGCAACATCACAAGGAACCAAGCTGAGCCTGACGGATCTCCATGGCCTCTTAGACACCATGCTCGCCCATGTGTCCACAATGACCCATCTGAAGAGCATTGACTTGGACTCTAGCTCAGGTTTCAGTGCAGAGGGCATCAAGCACCTCTACAGGCTGCCACGGCTGGAGACGCTGGATCTCAATAACACAGACCTCTGTGACAGTGCCTTGGAAGGCATTGGGGCCATTGTTGCCATTGTTAGGCTGAATCCCTTTTATCTCCATTGTACCAAGGTGACAGACGCGGGTCTGCTGCACTTTGCACACTTTTCCTCTCTTCCTCTCTTAAAAAGTTGAGGCTCTCTGAGTGCAAGGGTGTGACAAATGCTGGCATGGTGCATGTGGGGAGGCTGATAGGGATAGAGAAACTTTGGCTGCGTGGCATAGCAGTCACGGATGATGGGCTGCAGCAGCTGACTGCCCTGACCAAGCTGAGAACTCTCCAGCTGCCAAATGGGAATATGGTCAACGATGAGGATGCGTGGAAGTGGATAGGCAGATAGGGTGGGAGAGAGTGATGGAGGGGGAGAGGAGGGGGGAGTGGGGGGTTTTACAGCATTAAGACAGAGTTGAGAGTGACGGCTTGGGTGATACTGGAAGAGGCGTGGAGGCAAGGGTTGTGGAGAATGAGGGGAGAACATGGAGGAGTGTCCAAGCCGGTTTAAAATGGCATTTTCTTTGTACAGCTAGAGTGGCCTACGTTTGGGTCGTGTATAAAGGGGAGTGTAGTAGGGATGTATGCATGCGTGTTGTGCTAGGAAGGAGGCATGAAAGTGATGGCAGCTCCTTGCACAAAGGGTGCTGGCTAGTTTAAAAAATGCTCCAATGTGATTGGTTCCTGATTAACTAAACAAATTATTTATCACCTAAATATCAAAGCAATGACTACAAGAGCATTTGACACTACCTATGTATACATATTGTACAGCCGAAGTAAGGATATATTCATCACACCATAAAGCTAGCAAGCACAAGGATGCAATGACATTCAGGGCTTCGTTTCAGATAGGGCTTGTCGTTTTAGAGGACATGCATGGGGGGATAACTAGCACTGCCACAACGACAGAGCATTCAGCAGCAAGGCACTAAGCTTTTGTGGATTAACCTTGAACAAGGCCAAATCACCTGAGACCGACCTGGTACTAACGTTGAGCAATGCAAAGTACTAAGCTGCAATTACAGAAAGAAAGTAATTATATAAATAGAAGATGAACAAACAAATGAATAAGTGAATAGATAATTTAATTAAAATTACTCGATCATGTTGAGCTGGCATTGACCCTGTAGAAGATGGTCGTCGCCTTCTGCAGGGAAGCGAAATTCTACCGAAGCAAACTCTGCAGTGGTCAGCGCGGAGGTCTGCAGCAGAGAGAAATCTGCAGAAGCGGAAAGCCGGTTCCGCTGCAGAAGAGCGCGTGCCTGCAAAAATCGTGGTGCTGCGGAGGAGGGCGAATCTGCACAGGACATAGTGGGTGCTGCAGAAAAGTGCGCATCTGCAGAAAGCGTTCTGCAGAGGAGAGTGCGTCTGCAGAAGCGAATTTCTGCAGAAGATCACTGTCTCTACACACGAAAGAACAAGCTGATAGTTAGACTGCAAGGCAGGTGGGGTAGGGGACAAGCGGCAGCAGGGGGGGATGTGGGGAAGGGGGGATGACAGTCGTGCACAGTGTGCACAGGAGCTAACGAGGAGAGGGATGGAGACAAAACGAGAATAAGAATGGTGGCGTAGAATCACGTGAATGAATGCCAAAGGCCAGTGCCTCAACTCATTCGCCGCATTCTCCACACCGCACCTGCTTTGAACAACAACCCTCGTTCACTCTCCTGTGCCGCCTTCTCCGCCACTGCTGCCGCCACCTCCCCCTTCACTACTGCCAGCTCCTCCCTCACTGCTGCCAGTTCCCCTCTCACTGTTGCAAATAGCCCTCTAACAGCCTCGCTAAGCTCATTATCCTCCCTTTCTACAGCCATTTCCCAATCCACTCCCAACCACTTCAGGTAGTTTCCAGCAATGCTTGAGTTCAGCATGGAGAAGATGTTGGTGCAACTCTACGGTTTGCACTCGGCTTGTTGTCCGTGTGCGTGCATGTGTGTGTGTATGGAATGGTATGAGGGCATGGGATAATATATATTTCATGCTTATAATTGTGTGTGAATGTTGAGTCATGATGTCGAGTGTGTGTGTCGAGTCAATAGCGAGATATCGCTAGACGCGTGTTACGCGGTCGTTTGTGTCTCGCGCGCGGTTTTTATTTTGTCCGGTGTCGAACATTCGGCGTGTCGTAGGTGTGTGCAGACTACCCATCAACAACCCAAGGATGAGTTTGTGATGAAGAGCCCGAGCCTTTGTGTCAGGCCTCGAGTGATTTTGAAGCTCGCCAAAAGGGTGCACCTCAAGATATTGAAGATAGTTACATTACTTTGTGTAGTGTAACATTTCATTTGGTGTAGGCCCTAGTGAAGGGTAGTTTCGAGACCCTTCGTGGTTGGGGACAGTGTGGCACTGTTCCACATCACTGTATCTCGGCTCTTGGGGTTTGTAGGAGCTGGGAGTCATTCCCAACTCGTAACTCTTCCTAACTTGTTCCTATCTTGTGTTCTAAGACTATAGTGGCTGCCATAGTGCCGTTCGTTCAAACCAGCGCTGTGTCGTCAATACTTGGTCAAATCGTGCGATTTAAATTTCCTATTGTAGGCGACAATAAGACGCTCCAGATCCAAGTTTAATCAAGTCATTTAAAGCAGTGACCAGAACGATATGAACGTTTGAAGCCGCTGTGCAGAAATCCGGCTGTGCACTCTATCTTTCGTTTTAGGCACATTGGAGCCTACTGTGACTATAACAGAAGATTCCCTCTGAACCGTGCATAGGGAGTGAGAAACACTGGACTAGTTAAAGGTGGAGCGAAGAGAGGTCAGTAGAGGCAGACGCAAATGGAGAGAGATGTTGAAAGCAAGAGGGAAAGGTGAGGCACTGTAGCTCCTATGGCACGTGAATGAGAATATGCGACCATCGTTCTACGAGGCAAAGGAGCACATAGCCCCATGCTCATTTGCATAGCCGCTGTGGCATGTCGTATGCAGACAAGACTTCTACACAGAAGGAATCTCAAAACCGCTCTCTTTACCCTAATCCAGACTCACAGACTTACAGGCTAGGTCAGTTAGGGGTTAGGTCAGTTGGGGCTAGGTCAGTTGGGGGCTAGGTCAGTTGGGGCTAGGTCAGTTGGGGGTTAGGTCAGTTGGGGCTAGGTCAGTTGGGGGATAGGTCAGTTGGGGCTAGGTCAGTTGGGGGCTAGGTCAGTTGGGGCTAGGTCAGTTGGGGGCTAGGTCAGTTGGGGTGGGGGCTTTAGTCGGGGGCTAGGTTAGTTGGGGGCTAAGACACTCAAGGGCTAAGACACTCAGAGGCTGAGATACTCAGAGGCTAGGTCAATCAGACACTAGGTCACTCACAGGCTAGGTCACTCACAGGCTAGGTCAAGCACAAGGTTGGCTCGACACAAGTAAGATTGGTCCTAGGCTACAATAGCTACAGGTGGGTCACTTATAGCTAGGACAGACACAAGCAGGGTTAGTCATAGGCTGGGTTACTCAAAACAGCCGGTCAGCCACAGGCCAGGTCAACTGCACGCGAGGTTACATACAAGCAGCGAGTAGAGTTTTGACTCGACTCGATCAACTCAGGTGGTCACTTGATTTCTTGTCACGCTGAGTCTAGTCGGCTCGACATACAATGCATCGCTCGACCCGGCTGGACATTTGTCAAGTTGGCACTCGCCTAGTTGGTGATTCGAAACAGCACACCTGCCTAGTCTATACTCGACTAGCTTGTCTCCGGCATTTACCTGTGTCAAGCAACGTGTCGTTCAACAACTAAATCTCTCATTTTCGTGGTCCAATCTCGGCCTGATCTGGTTAATAGTCGTTCCTTGTCGGCCTTGTCATTCATATTTGTCCCAACCCTTATCTCGGCCTTGTCACTCCTACCTCGACTCGCGAGTTAACTCGGGTTGGTCAGAGCCGAGTCCACTCAGAGTAGAATTGAGTCGCCCTGTGCACATGTCCAGGTCAGTCACAGGCTAGGTGAGGCACGCTCGGTCAGTAACGGCAAGACCATTCATGGGCTGGGTCAATCACCGCCTAGGTTGGTCACACGCTGCGGTGGGTCACACGGTAGGTTGGCTAGAGCCCAAATAAGTGAGAGCGTGGGTGTATCAACGATGGCGAGGAAAAGCAGCACGGGAAGGGCCTGGGACAACAACGCTGAGTGGGACAAGACTACGTCAAGGGGCTCTGCTAGTTCATAGGTTGTCCAGACCTCATAGCGACTCGGTATGTAACCTAAAGCTGCACATTCCCCCCCCCCCCCCCCCCCGCCGCAATGCAGAGGGCTGACTGGGGGAAACTAAAAGTGGAGCTTACCTCTTTTAGGATTTCTTAGACTATCACACTTCTGCAGCTCTCGAAGTGACTTAGCAGTGGCGTGGTAATTCGATCTCTACAAAAGGTGGGCAAAGAGACGGCGGCCCGGGAAAAACCTAGGGGAAACGATGCGCGGAATATTGTACGGATGACACTGAAGGAATACGGCGCCGCCGTTGGTACTAGTTTCTTCGAGGTGGTGTGAGTAGCATTTCTTTTCACTAGGCGCTTTTTGTCACCATTGTAATATTCCTCTGCTATGTGTCCCGACACAGTGGTGAGCACAAACTTGTTCGTTTTAGTTTGAGGTGTACAGTACTTTTGCTGCTCCTCCAACACCTTCCCACCGCCCCACAAACTATCGCCAGTTTCCTCCTTGATGTTGCCTTGCTTCATCGAAATGATAATTCGCGAGACTCGTGCACCAGTCGCGAACTTTTGTCTTATCGCGAAACGAAGCTGTCATGCCAGCGCTGTTCGCCAGCACATCTAAAAAAAGAAAGGCCACGGAATAGCTGTGGAATCACGAACCAGAGGAGGAACCTCTCAAATAGGTGTGGGGGGAATGGCCAAATCGTGAAATTTCACGCCAGAAAGGGGAAGGGTGGCATCGGGATCAGGAACCACCCTCCCCACGTTCCAATTCCCCGTTCCCCCCCTCCATATCCTTCCAATCTCATGGCCATTCCAAGGCGATGTTCGGCAGCCAGGGGAGGGGGTTTGATGGGGGATCCAAATGGCGAGCCTCCAGGCTCGACCAGTACGAACCAGGCAAAACACTTCGGTCAGGCTAGAAAAATGTGAAAAAAATGTCGAACGTAAGAATAAAACGTGACGCGAACACCATGCTAGGTTGTAACCCGCGCCGCATCCTCTTCCAAAACCTCCCCCATGGCGCAGAAATTCCGCCCTAGTGCCGAGGGAATCCAAATTGCACTCCCATGAGTGGCCTCACCCACGAGGGATGTAAAATGGATTCCCTCTACCATGAAATTGTTTTATGATTTTACCCCACACTCTAGACTGATGGGTAAAACGAAAATCGGAAATGTATCCCTAATCCAGTTGTATTCAATAAGGTCACATGGGTGAGTACGGCATTTAGGGCATCCATTTTAATTTATGGTGTTAATTTTTTTTCGGGAAGTGATATACCCAATCCCATCGCAACTGTAAAATGAGGCAAGGGGAAGAAAAGCTGTCCTACTCGCGAAGTTTCGTTTCGTGCAGCTCTAGTTTCATGGGCCCCCAATTCCCGCGTCGCTCATCCGCGCCTTTTCCCCCAAAGGTTCCGCTTCCGCCTAGACCCCCGATTTGGAGTCAACGCTAGTTGACTACGAGTAAACCACCCCAAACTAGAAACCCTAGCTGAGAATTTTGATCATGTGAAGATGAGAACGAGAGAATGGATAAACTATGAAAGATTTGGGTACAAGTACTAACCCTAATTGGGTTGTACCCCTTATGGGCTACCCCACTACAGCCTACACAAATGTATAAGCTATAATGTTCTGACACACCCCCATAGGCAAAGTGGGGGGGAAAAAGTGGTCACAAGACCAGTCAAGCAAAGCAAAGCAAGCTCACGGTGGATCACAAAGTCACCACACAGTCCGAGCACAAGAGTAAGGCCAGAAGGCCAGTTCACATGCAAGATCATATATATAAAGGTAAAAAAGCAAGTGCAGGTATAGAATGAGTACAATACAAACAAGATCAAAAAGTGAGCAAGTGAGGCCAGGTAGGCACAAGACCTAGTAAAGTACAGAAGCGCTGATGATCACAAGGCGGAAGGGCCTTGGTGAAGATATAAGTAGTGTTGGCCTCAGAGGCCACGTAACGTAGGTGAGGCGGAGCTAACCACGCTGCTGCAGCTCACGAGCCAGGAAGTAGCGGAGAGCAATGTACTTCATTCTGTGCTCCAGTCTGTGCTCCCGACACAAGGCCAGCATGGCCTTGTTGTCTACGTACAGAACTGGAGTAGAACGAGGCGGCTCTCCTAGGTCAAACAACAGGTAGGTGAGCCAGCGTAGCTCCTGTGCAGCCATGGCCCCTGCGTAGATCACAGCCTCACAGCTGGAGGTGAGAACAGAAGACGAGCGGGTAGAGCGCCACGAAACAGAGCCGGAGCCAAGGCTGAAGGTGTAACCCTGTAACGTCCGCTGCGTAGCCTGGCCGTCAGCCGAAGAAGCGTCAGCATGACCGGTGAGGACCACTCGACGTCGCCCTCCAAGCACTAGCCCCATGCCCGACGTACTGCACAAGTAGCTTAACACCCTCTTCGCTGCAGCCATGTGCTCTGGTCGGTGTCTCCCAGGAGCAACATAGCGTGCCAAGATGCTAAGAGGGTATGCAAGGTCAGGTCGTGTGCAGGTCATCAGGTACATGAGGCAGCCAACAAGCTCTGGGTACGGGCCACTCGACTGAAGGACCTGCTGCACAATGTGTGACTTAGTCAGTGTAATGGTGCGCTGTGCTCTGTCCCGGGTGATTTGCAAGCCAAGGTAGCTGCGCAGTTCACCCAAGTCTGTGCACGTGTGTCTCTTCTG